TGAGCATGAGATTTTACCTTTTATTTCTTTTCCCCTTTCAGTTTGTATTTTTTTTTTAAAAGGCTGAAAATGTGTGTACATGTATTTGTATAGCTATACATAATGTATTTGCAATATTATATATAAAAGTCATGTGATATTTAACATAGGACACATAGCTATGTAGTTTTTCTGGGCTGCATGTTTGTATTTCTTCTCTGCTCTTGTTCTGTTATAAACTGCAAGCCTTTTAATTACTCACACCAAAGCTGATGGAGCGAAGTCTTTGTTCTGTGTTATTCTACTGCACAACAATATCTTAAATATTGAAAGACAATATGGCATTGAGTTGTTTTTAGCTACTTAATGCAATCAGTTTACGGCATTCATTCAATAATGTGAATATTGTGCCAGCTGGAACCATTACAGCCTCCAACTAAAATTGTCATTGTTTTGCTTCCCATTCTTCCTAAGATGACGAACCAGCTGGGCCAATGTAAGTATCAGATTTACATTTTAAATAAGACTTAATATGATGCAACTGTCCTAGATAACTGAAGCCAGCGGATGTGTGATTTATACAGAATGTATGGAGTATAAAGAAACAGTGAATGAAGGGAATGTAATTATATATATATATATAGACGAGTGTAAAATGCTGGATTTGTATTTTGGATTGTGACACTCACTCTGACTCATTTTTATGATCTCACCTTGAAGGAAAACTAATTCCACCAACAACCACAAAGATAAAAACCTACGTCAGAGAAATACAAATTGATTTCATCATTACAAGGTGAGTATTCTGTTAGACTGAGAATATTCATATCAGTTGAACATACAACAAGAAACAGTGCTTACAGAAAATTAGACACTAAGCCACACTTAAAAAATGTATAAATTACCGTAAAGTGTGTAAATGTTTTGCAACAGAATATCATCTTTTGTTTTATATTTTCATTTATGATTTATGCATTTTAACTGTCAAAAACTTGTATATGAAAATGAACTACTGAGAGTACATTATCTTGTTTATTACATGGCTGCTCACCAAATAAATAAATATGTGATTTTATAATCTTAATATTATCTTAAAGCTTCCACTAGAAAAAAAAAAATGTCCATTACAATGTACAAAACATGCGCAGCAACAACACAAACACTTCAACAACATTACAATAATAAAAAAAGAAAAGGTTCACTACAGGTGATAACTGAGAGGCAAGATGGCCGTTTACGATGATTGGAGACACATGAAAGTAGCGGCGGGTTACACAAGTTTTAAACAGAGCACTCCGATCAAGATAAAATAAGTTTAACTTTTAAAAAGGGATCTCGAGACTGCCCTGCATCTCACATTTTTTAAAGGCAAAAACAAGTTCTTTGTGAACCTGGCCGATAAGCTGACTGATACAAAATGTTGCCATGGACAATATTGGATGAATATTAGGAAATATCTGTTCGCAGAATGCCACAGTTGACCCAGTCAGAATCAAGTATTCCAGAAATCTGTGTAATGAATTTCAAAGAACTAGTTACAGGAAGCGATGCGAATTTGTATAAACTAGCACATTTCTCAATCAGTTACTCCTGTGAAACGGCAAAAGCCACATTGTTAATTCACTTTTGTCACTGCTGTTTGCTGTTTACAGATTAAGACATTCACATCATGACCACATGAACGTTACTCATGAACGGTTTAGCGCATTGGTAATCAAATCAAAGGTGGAGGAGTTAAATGGAAGACCGGAAGAAATAAGCACCCGAGGCATGCCTTATAAATCTGGTGTGAGGAGGACGAGTGAACAGAACGGAACCTGATTCTGAACATTTTCTTGCATGATTGTGTTGCTTTTTCTTTAGAATCTCTTTTATTTAAGTCAACTTTTTCCATGTCAGGCAAAAGTACAAAAATAATAATTGCATGCAAGATAATTACTGTTTGATACAGGCTTTTGTGTGTGTGTGTGTGTGTGTGTGTGTGTATTTATGAATGACTTCTGTTCAAGCAAGCCTTTAACTTGTCGCAAATATGCCACCATGATTCTGGTATGACAGTTTTTGTACAGATTATCATATTACTTTATACCATTTGGTAAGGTGGCATATGATTCTATCAATCAATTAAGGGCTTTGCGAAATGTCCTGCCATGTTTAATTTGTACATGTATTGTACATTAATGTATGAAATCACTTGAAATATCTATAGTTATCTGAATGTTCTTCATACTGATTCACTTATCTCTTCAAATATTCTTGCAAACCAGTGACTTCATTTTATACTTATGTACCTTATCTGTCTCTAAGTCTACATGGCTGATTGCTTTTTATGTATGCATAGTATACAGCATGGCTTTTATTCTATGCAATATCTATACATACAGTAGAACAAACCTTTTTTTTAAATGTAAGCTTTTCGTTGTGTATAATTAAGCTTTAATATTATACGTTAGCAAAGTGCACTGTTCAAACCATGAAAAACAATCCACATGGTTTAAAACATCACTGCATGAGCTCCTTACTCAAGGGTCTACTAAGTCAGAATGTGAAGATAAATTAATATTATCTCAACTGACTAAGGCATATACATGTCATTTTTAACAATTAAAATATCCAAAGTCAAATGCGTTGTCCTTTTTTATGACATGAGGCATTGTTTATTTTTTAAGAAAATTGCTAAATTAAATTTACTTCCCTTCAGGGCGCCCAAGATGTAGATGCGTTTTTTTCTAGTCATAAATTTAGAGAAATTTAGCATTGCATCACTTGCTCACCAATGGATCCTCTGCAGTGAATGGGTGCCGTCAGAATGAGAGTCCAAACAGCTGATAAAAACATCACAATAATCCACAATACTCCAATCCATCCATTAATATCTTGTGAAGTGAAAAGCTATTTGTTTGAAACAAATTCATCGAGATGTTTTTAACTTCAAACTTAAAAAGAGTCCTCTATCCATAATATTGCTTTTTCCAGTGAAAAAGATGTTTCGTCTGAATCAGGAGAGAAAAATGAACAGATTAAGCAGTTTGCAAGCGACAACAGTCCAAAACAGTTCTAAACAAATAATGTCAGTGGATAACGGATGAATTTTTTCACTGGAGGAAGTGTTATTATGGGTTACGGATTAAGTGATGGTTTAATGTTAAAATGCCTTATTAAAGGATTTGTTTCTTACAAACATGCAGCGTTTCATTTCACAAGATGTTAACTGATGGACTGGAGCTTTCACTTTTTTCACTTTCAGTGGGAGGCAGCAGTGCGCTAATGTGTTGCTAATGTGCAACAAAACAACAGAGGAAGAAATACGGAAGGTTAGAGAGCATGCGCAACAAGCAACGTGGTTTGCCAACCGCCAATAAAATGTAAAGAAGAAGAACAAGCAACGTTTTTTTTTTTTATTTGTGCTCCGAATTTGGTGAGACTGCTTGCATTTTTACCACTGGACAAAGACTGATTACTTCTATACAATAATAATAAGGTAAGATTAAAAAAATAATTGTGTCAATGTATCTTTCTGTGTGCTGCTAACTTTAACTGACTAACGTTGTCAGCGGTGTTAGCTAACAGAAACCAAAGATCTTTGCTATTCTGCTGTTAGAAAAAAGACTGTAGAAATACAGAACTTGTGGCGTATTTTGGCGAATTTAAGACTTTTTTTACTTTTCAAACTGAAAAATTTGTAGCTAGTTCAAAAATGAAAAGTCAGAGGTACAATTCAAGAACATGCCAAAAGTCCTCAAGATGAGCTCACAGTAGGTTTTAAAGTCAATCTTTATGTGCCACTGATAATTAATTGTTTACTGTAATCTTTTGCAGTGTTAACACTATAATTGTATAACACTGAGGTTTTGGTCACTTAAGTTATTTTTAAGTTAACCATGTTATTGTCAATATTTTTAATACATCACAATCATAGTCATCACGTGATCACACCTTTAAGGTTTAAACTGAAAGCTCTTTGTCTTGCAGTAATTATTGCTTTGCTGTGTTGAAGCACTTACTACTGTAATGCAGATGAAATGCTGCTTTTCAATTGAGATTTATTGTAATGCTTTTTTCCTCAGTTGGTCAGAACAAACGTGGCAGACTTGTTACTTACTTGTTCAGATGACAATATACGGTGAAAATTCTTATTTGGGTCATATTCCAAGACGTAGGCTTGAATCTGTGATTGCGAAGTACAGTAAATATCCACACTGGTGCGGTGACTGACTGCCACACATACTCTTTCCGCGCTGGAGCCCTGCCGACTCACAACCCACGCAAGCTAGATAATTCCGCACACAGCTGCAATTCCAGGTGTTCAAACAGAGATGGCGACAAAGAGGCAAAACTTACGGACTGCAGCTTTAAAATAAAGTGTAACCGAATAATACATTTGTCTACTAAGAAGCAGTGTGCGAATTATTCATTGACCTTCAGAAAGGCTCAAATTAATTTTTCGGGTATTTCGTTTCAGATCTCACGCGACCCCAAATTATGGAGTTCCAGATAACCGTCAACTACCTTAAAAGCATTTTAATTAACATTAAAAGTTAATTTAATTTTTTGTGTGTGTGTTTTGTGAATAATCCACAATAAAGTCATGCGTTTTGCCGCTTTGCTAAACCGCGTTCCAGCGGCGAACTGTTGCTATGGTTACGTTCTCCAGCGAAGACGATTTCAACTTTACCGTTTACAGAAACATTTGCGAACGCTGTTGAATTGTGTGAATCCGTATGTAGAAAGAATAGCCTTCATAGTTTTATTTCTTTTGACTTCCTCGCACCCTGCTAGTCTGATCATGTCACGCCAACTGATAAACAATACCCAGCTGTTAGCATGGAGAAATACCAATTCTTTTCCATAAGGCAATGACGTAATAGAATGAATGACGTAAAAACGCTACTTTTACCGTTCAGGAATGTTTATGTTATTATTGGGCGAAATGTTATTATTAGGCAAATCATTTGGTGAGTACAGGTAATGTCATGTCACGTTTTTTTTTTTTTTTTGCTACACCCCTAACAGTCGGTTTGGGTGGTGCGTGCTTATTTGCTGTCTGCGCTTCTATGGCAACGTAATAGATTATCCATCCCCACGCATGTTACCACAACTGATCTGGACATTTTTTGCACATTGGATTACTAATGTGTCAGTGGCCGGGGGCTTCGTAAGTGCTGTTTGAAGAGTAGTTTGGAAAGGAGGGTGCAATGATTTGTCATTGAGACGCGCGTCAAATTGTTTCTCATTCAGACACGTCCGTCCGTCTTCCCGCATCCGGTGTGCGCGCTCGGTGTCTAGTATTACAGATGCAGCGGGATGCATTTTTGTTTATTCATATTTTTGACGACCTATTTTCCTGCCTGCGTCTCCTCTCAGATGATACCGACTGTCATTTGTTCCGTTAAGGTGGTCGATCACAATGGATAGGGTGCATTCTTCCATGCGCAAACGGCTCTATAGCTTGCCACATCAGTTTGGACACAAGGATGCTATGACTCGAGACGGCGAAGATAGCGACAAGGACACTCGGAGGAAAAGTGTCAAGATGAAGCATCTTCCCTCACCCTCCTCCACGGGGAGCTCTAAAGGTGTCAGCGAGGCCAAGAGCGGAGACGCGGAGACCGATGTAGGGAGACCCTTTAGAACCAACGTGAACGGCGACTGCCGGAGATTCAGAGGCAGCCTCTCTTCCATCACCAGTCGGCATGCTCCAGACGCGGATCTGGCGGAGCAGAGGTGCCTCATCGGGGATGCAAGCCCCGAGGACGACGGTCCCTTGGAGCAACCCGGACCTGGAGAGAGCCAGGGCGCGCAGGGCGGCCGCGGCGACGGGGCACAACAGGCGCCCTCTGAAGAACAGTCGACTTTCGTAAAGTTGGAAGGTATCGATCAAATCATGCCTGACGATGAGCGGCTGTACCAGGCGGGCTTTATGCACAGGCAGTTTGGCGCGATGCTTCAACCGGGGGTCAACAAGTTCTCGCTTCGAATGTTCGGGAGCGAGAAGGCGGTGGAGCGCGAGCAGGAACGGGTCAAATCTGCAGGCTTTTGGATCATTCACCCATACAGTGACTTCAGGTAATCCCATGTCTAATTGTCGGCTATGCAAATGTTCCCACTGCCATCAGGCCTCCAGCAAGGAGCTCTCCGAAATTAAACGATTCTACGCTTTGCTCACATGTCTGAGCAGATTAAATACAGCCCATTTGTCTTTTCATGGTTTTGTTTTTAAAAACGTCTTTCTGTGTCCTTGAGTTTGCTGAGGATATTAAAATCAGGCCCGTGCTGTTGCATTCCCTAACCTCACCTGGTCATATTCACCTCTTTCCTGTTTGAATGACATTGATACCATCCACATATTGCAAGGGCAAACAGTGTCAGCAACGCCAGCTGTCTAGGAGTTTCTGTGATTGTTTTGCATTCATTGCGTGAAAACTTTCACTGCACCAACCACGGAAGTCAAGTGTAATCTCTCGCTTTACTGCATAGAAATAAGTCACACAATCATATTTAGCCGTTGTTCTCATGTTTTCACTCAAACAGAGCTGGCCGGGAAATAGGGTGATCAAAATGGGTTAACATGACGACTGGCATTATTGGGAGCAAACATCAGAGAGGATTACAACAACACAATTTATTTAATGGCACTCTGGTCCGAGGTGGAGGGGGCAGTACTAACAGTCAGGTAGCTGAAATGGACCACATGGCCTTCGCACAGTCAGGACGGCATGTAAGCAGAGCAGTTATGAGCTTCTAATGAGTGATTGGCACATTGTTTTGGATATCAGTCTAAATAAATGATGTGAGATCAGGGTCATACAGTGCAAAGGAGGACAATGTTGAATCAACACCAGAAATGAAAATTCTGTCATCGTTTACTCACCCTCAGGTCACCTGTATGACTTTCTTTCTTCACATAAGAAGATATTTTAAATAACTGCTTTTGTCCATTCAGTGAAAGACAATGGGGTCCAAATGAAACCATTTTTGTGTTTTGTTTGGACCCCATTGACTTCCATTGTATTTGGCAAAAAAACAACCAAATATATTTTCAAAAGATCTTTTTTTCTGTTCCACATATAAAATGAAGTCATACAGGTTTGAAATGGCATAAGGATGAGTAAATGATGACAGAATGTTCTTTTTTGATTTTTGTTTGTTTGTTTGTTTGTTTGAACTACTTTTTTTCCTACACTGTAAAAAATATTTGTTTGAAATTGTAAATAAAACAAAGATTACTGAAGATTGTTTTACACAAAAAAAAAACATACAATTTCAGTCTTTCTACTTCAAATTTGAACATTTAATTCAGCGTCACTTGCCAATTGTGTTTAATTATTTGTCAAATTTACTAGCTATTTCTTAGTGATTTTTTTTTACAGTGCACTTGAAAAAAATGGTGTAGAAACAATTTTCACTCAGAAATTGCTCTATAGCTTGCCACATCAGTTTGGACACAAGGATGCTATGACTCGAGACGGCGAAGATAGCGACAAGGACACTCGGAGGAAAAGTGTCAAGATGAAGCATCTTCCCTCACCCTCCTCCACGGGGAGCTCTAAAGGTGTCAGCGAGGCCAAGAGCGGAGACGCGGAGACCGATGTAGGGAGACCCTTTAGAACCAACGTGAACGGCGACTGCCGGAGATTCAGAGGCAGCCTCTCTTCCATCACCAGTCGGCATGCTCCAGACGCGGATCTGGCGGAGCAGAGGTGCCTCATCGGGGATGCAAGCCCCGAGGACGACGGTCCCTTGGAGCAACCCGGACCTGGAGAGAGCCAGGGCGCGCAGGGCGGCCGCGGCGACGGGGCACAACAGGCGCCCTCTGAAGAACAGTCGACTTTCGTAAAGTTGGAAGGTATCGATCAAATCATGCCTGACGATGAGCGGCTGTACCAGGCGGGCTTTATGCACAGGCAGTTTGGCGCGATGCTTCAACCGGGGGTCAACAAGTTCTCGCTTCGAATGTTCGGGAGCGAGAAGGCGGTGGAGCGCGAGCAGGAACGGGTCAAATCTGCAGGCTTTTGGATCATTCACCCATACAGTGACTTCAGGTAATCCCATGTCTAATTGTCGGCTATGCAAATGTTCCCACTGCCATCAGGCCTCCAGCAAGGAGCTCTCCGAAATTAAACGATTCTACGCTTTGCTCACATGTCTGAGCAGATTAAATACAGCCCATTTGTCTTTTCATGGTTTTGTTTTTAAAAACGTCTTTCTGTGTCCTTGAGTTTGCTGAGGATATTAAAATCAGGCCCGTGCTGTTGCATTCCCTAACCTCACCTGGTCATATTCACCTCTTTCCTGTTTGAATGACATTGATACCATCCACATATTGCAAGGGCAAACAGTGTCAGCAACGCCAGCTGTCTAGGAGTTTCTGTGATTGTTTTGCATTCATTGCGTGAAAACTTTCACTGCACCAACCACGGAAGTCAAGTGTAATCTCTCGCTTTACTGCATAGAAATAAGTCACACAATCATATTTAGCCGTTGTTCTCATGTTTTCACTCAAACAGAGCTGGCCGGGAAATAGGGTGATCAAAATGGGTTAACATGACGACTGGCATTATTGGGAGCAAACATCAGAGAGGATTACAACAACACAATTTATTTAATGGCACTCTGGTCCGAGGTGGAGGGGGCAGTACTAACAGTCAGGTAGCTGAAATGGACCACATGGCCTTCGCACAGTCAGGACGGCATGTAAGCAGAGCAGTTATGAGCTTCTAATGAGTGATTGGCACATTGTTTTGGATATCAGTCTAAATAAATGATGTGAGATCAGGGTCATACAGTGCAAAGGAGGACAATGTTGAATCAACACCAGAAATGAAAATTCTGTCATCGTTTACTCACCCTCAGGTCACCTGTATGACTTTCTTTCTTCACATAAGAAGATATTTTAAATAACTGCTTTTGTCCATTCAGTGAAAGACAATGGGGTCCAAATGAAACCATTTTTGTGTTTTGTTTGGACCCCATTGACTTCCATTGTATTTGGCAAAAAAACAACCAAATATATTTTCAAAAGATCTTTTTTTCTGTTCCACATATAAAATGAAGTCATACAGGTTTGAAATGGCATAAGGATGAGTAAATGATGACAGAATGTTCTTTTTTGATTTTTGTTTGTTTGTTTGTTTGTTTGAACTACTTTTTTTCCTACACTGTAAAAAATATTTGTTTGAAATTGTAAATAAAACAAAGATTACTGAAGATTGTTTTACACAAAAAAAAAACATACAATTTCAGTCTTTCTACTTCAAATTTGAACATTTAATTCAGCGTCACTTGCCAATTGTGTTTAATTATTTGTCAAATTTACTAGCTATTTCTTAGTGATTTTTTTTTACAGTGCACTTGAAAAAAATGGTGTAGAAACAATTTTCACTCAGAAATTGCTAGTAAATCACAATTAATTACAAAGAAAAGGCAAGTAACACATGGAATAAAACATGAAAATTGTCAAATAGAAAGAGTAAAATAGTAATTTTTATACTCCAATAATATTTGTTTCGAAAATCATTTTTACAGTGTAGCAAAATGGAAAGGTTACTGGTAATTCTACCAGCACATTATATGTTATATTTAATTTAATCCTAATACACAGCAATATGTAATTCAAAATACGAGTAAAACACCTATAGAAAAAGATCATTGGACCCTTTTTTTATTTTTTTTTTTACAGATTTTCTTAGAATATTTCCCTTTAATTTGTACTGGCAAAACCACCCAAAATGCATCTGTCAACTTAAACTTAAGTGTTGTGACTATATAAGATGAATGTTATTTCAGGAAGCATCTAGACCTGTTGAGTACCAAATGACCACAGCAGCAGGTGATTTGTAAATTTTCACCTGTCACAAGAGGTACCGTCCTTACTCGTCTGGCATTTTCAGGTGTCATTTTCACATTTGCCCTTGTCTCCTTCCTCTTGCACTTGCTTCATCCATCTCTCCCTGTGCTCTCTGACTTTCCTCCTCCCAGCACTGTTATGGAAGGGGATGGGCGATGCGGGGACTTCCATTTGCTGATTGCATCACCTGGTTGATGCAGAAAATGAGAAGAGAGTGTCAGAATGTGGATGGAGGCTGTTGAGATGGGGGTGGAAGGTTAGCATCAGTGTTCAAGGGGTTCTGGAATAAGGGAAGCAAAGAGATGTGCTTTTTTAATGAATCACCACAGAGTAGCTCTGTTCTGCAGCGCATTTGGAAGAGTAGGAAACATAATTTTCTGCTAAACAATGTGGTGCATCACATCATTTCGCCATTAGCTTCAGCTGAAAATTAAAGCAGTGCTCTCTCACAGAGCTAAAAATTTCCGTCTGTCATTTAGAGCAGTGGAGTCGCATAAGCAAACATTTCAGCCTGTTTATTAAATTATAGACTAAACGTATTACTTCAATGGATGTGAATTTCTGTGATTTGCTCAAACAATACATAGGTGTTTCTTCAGTGTTATGCACTGGTTAGGTTTTAGTCAAACTAACATATTTTGTGTTTTAATTTATTTGTAAGGCTTTTTATAGCCATTTTATAACAACTTTTGAAGGATCATGAAACTTAATAGCAGATGTTCTCAGATGCAAATTATTGAAAATAATGATGTCACATATTATTCTGAATATTAGGAGAAAAGTGTTTATAGTTCAATTTTTTTATCCATTTTGTTGTTACAGTTTAAAAGTGTATCAATGTAAAATCTGACTTTTTTATTAATAAAAAACAGCATATCATACAACAGTTTTCATAACAGTTACATTAAAGATATCTGAAACTATCATTTAGTTTCAGATAGTTATACTAAAATAAACATAACTTTAACAGACTACTAAGATGTCAGCCAACACACGCAAAAATGTATTCATAGACTAACATATAGACACAAATACACTGTTTTTAAATATTTCTTCATAATATTATAAATAAATTGTTTTTGTTCTTCATAAAAATCTGAATTGTGACTGGTCGAGTCGCGGAGAAACGTATTACGTCATTAGATTTTCCACACTAGGAATGTGATACGCGAGTGCAAAACCGCGAAAAATACTAAAACGCACAGAGTTCAGTATAGCG